TACTGAACCAAACCAGAATCGTTACAAATATTCAATGGGTCCAAATTTCTTATATCCGAAAAAACCAAACCCAAATCCGAACCGAACCAAGAACCGAATGGGTACCCGAAATATCCAAAATATTAGTTATATATTCAAAATATTAGTTATATTTAGACTTAAAATAATCAAAAATAACTAAAATTACAATTATAAGTCTAAATAGTTATATTTAAAACGATATAACCAAAATATTCAAGAAATCCAAAAAGATTTAGTAGAAGATCAAAGGTGTGAATTAGGAAGGATAGGTCGCCTTACCACTCGGCCATGCCTCCAAAACGATAGAAACTATGGAATAGAAACAAGTTTTTTTTTTTGGTTATGATCGGGTATTCTGTTAAAAAAAAACCTATTATTGGATAAAAAGAGACGAGATTGAATATGACGAGACGAAAAAAAATAGAATCGGAGAAGAGAGGAATTTTGTTTACTTCTTATGATATTAAGTGACGAGACGAGATCTAAAGGAACGGAAAAGAACATAATAGGACAAGACGGAAATTTCGCCTACCTCAAATAATATTTATAGGTGGAATGGGAAAAACAAAAAAAACATGATGAGAGAGGACAAAACAGAAATGTTGGACAGGACAAAATGAAAAAAAATGGAATGTGACGGGATTGGACCGGACTAGATGAAAAAGGACATAATGGGACGGGAATTTTGTCTACCCCTAATTATATTTAGAGACGAGACAGAGATAAGACAAAATGAAAATGAACATAATAAGATATGATGGGACTGGATGGGGCGGACAGAACGAACGGGATGAGAAAGAACATGACAATATGAAAAGGAAACGGAATGAGATAGAATCTACCCCTAATTATATTAAGGAACGAGACAATAATAAACAAAATAGAAAGAACCATAATGGGATAGGATAGGACTGAACGAGACGGGACATACATGACGAAACGGGACGGGAAAGAACGTACATGATGAAAATGAACGAAATGGGACGAGATGGAACAAGATGGTACCAAAAATTTGCCTAACTCTAATTATATTTAAGTAATATGTTTATAATATCTTTGAAACAATATTAAATTTGCGGAAAAACAATAAAACTAACACAACCTGCGCGTAGCGCGGATCACCCCCTAGTACTATTATAAAACTTGACCTGTTGACCCCCAGACTTTTCTGACGAGAATACAAGCACATAAACTGAATACTTTTATTTGAAAATACAACTTTTATAAAATCTAAATTATGGAAAATAATCTTCAAATAAAGTTATGCTAAAAACAATAAGATATTATTTCATAAATGCTAAAGCATAACTAGGCAAGAAAATCATTCGTTACCTATAATATAAGAATTGTTTTTCAAAAATTTGCTTCCTTTTCTAAAAACTTTTGACTAGAAAATATTTTCTACATATGCCGTGTTATTATATATATAACTATTCATCCAGCCAAAATGAAAACATTTAAAAATAATCTAAGAAAATAACACAGAAATGACTATCACAAAGAAAATGTTGATCGCACTTTTTCTGAGTTTTTTCTTGGCTATATCTTATGTCAAATGCTCTGCTGAGAGTATTGGTACTAACTTATTATTATAATCTCTATTTTATTTTGTTATTTTGAACATAATTTTTTTTGTTTTATGTGAATATGCATAATAGTTTATTAATTTTTGTTGAATAGGATCTGGAAAATGGAGCGACTATTGGCAGATATGCTACAACAAAAATCAGTGGCAAGGGATGACTTGCAAGGCGTTCTGCCTGAAAACTTTAGAAGGATCGGTAACCGGTGAACTTGTTACGGAACACAGATGTTGTTGTAGAAATTATTATAATTTTTTATAAAAAAATTATTACCTTATAATAATAATAATAATAATATAAAAAAAATTCTATAGTTGTGAGTGTAAAACCAAAATCATACTAAATTGTATTCTGTTTCATTTTACTGAAGTAAATTTGGTGGAAATCCTAACAAAATATTAAACAAAGTACAAGAAAAATTCTGGTTTAGTTAGAGTAATAGCCAGTGATTTTATTCTTCCAGCTTGCAAATGTTGTTGTAGAAACTCTTATGATCTTATCTAATATTTGTATCTGCTAGAAACATAATTATCATACTTTAGTTACAATTATAAAACCGAAAACCTTACAGTATATATAAATCATACAGTATTAAATTGTGTTGGATTTGATTTTACTTGAGCGAATTGTGTTCCTTCTTTCCTTAGAGATGTAATTCATAATGACACATGTCTAGCTCCCTTCCGAAATCAATTTACCTCTGGAACTCTTACAAATATCAAAGCAGGAATCAAAATCCTCAATGTGGCGGTGAACTTACCGCCTACAGGAATCGGCGCCGGCACGTTAGCACCGTGGATCATGTGGAGCATATGGATGAGCCGGAACAACAAGATCTTCAATAATAGAAGGTTCAATGTGCAGGAAACCCTAAATCTCGCCTCAATCCGGGGGCACGGGAATGGCAAGAGGCTCAAGAGAAGACACCGATCCGCTCCGTAGCGAACAGATCCAGTAGCAACCCGAGAAGCGTGCGATGCCACACCGATGGCGCTTGGAGTAAAGAGCAAAAGATAAGAGGAATGGGATGGAGCTTGCACGATGGAAATCATATCCCAATTACACAGAGATCAACAGCAAGGAAGCACATAGCATCACCGCTAATAGCTGAGGGACTAGCAATCCGTTACGCCCTAGAACATGCCCTTGATCTGAGTTTCTCCTCCTTGCATGTGGCCTCAGATTGGCAGAAAATCATTAGAGCAATCAACTCAGGAAGCCAGCTATCGGATATCTATGGGATCCTCCAAGATATCGCTCATCTCTCTTCTCTGTTTGTCGATTTAATTGTCGTTTCAATTCCCAGAGAAGTCAATTTGCTGGCTGATTCTCTCGCTAAACAATCTCTCCATGCTCTTGAGCAGTTGGGGAGTTAATGTGTTTTAATTAATAAAAGAGGTTTTAGAACCAAAAAAAAAAACACTCAAGCCACGTATCATTAGTAGGGCTGGGCATTTTTACCTAGATCCGAGGAATCGAACCGAACCCGACCCAAAAAGATGGAACCGAACCAAACCAGAATCGTTACAAATATTTGGTGATATACCTCTATTTTACATGCTTTTTATGCTATTTTACTATGGTTTTCTAATGGTTTTCTAGTGGATTCTTGTGTTAAAAGGTAGTTTTTATGGATTTATACTGCAAAGAGTCATTTTAGGTAAAAAGGTGCATTATGGAGCAAAACAGAGGATTTGGACTTCAAACCAGTTCAATGCCACTGCATCAACTTTGGATGGAGCTAAAAAAGATCTACTCAATGGATTTCATCAAGACCAGTTCCCTGCGTGCTCTGATTGAGTTAACTTTCCAACGCAAGTGGAACGGCCTCATTTGGATGAGTAGAAAAGGAGTTATAGCCAAAAGAGTGAAGACTGTCCAGCGGCTCTATCGAGAATCAGCGCCCAACCGCGCAGAACGGCTGGCCGAGGAACGAATGTTCCGCGCTCGGCCAAAAAATCCGTCCGTCTGAAGTCTCGGCCAAAGTTCAACCACCGGCCGACGATATCACGACCCGGGAAACAATGTCCCGCGGTCGGCCAAGCCACGCCCACTCACACACCGCGCACGACCGCCGCGCGAGCCGGGAAAACGCCTCGCGGCCGCGCAACCTACTCGTACCACGGCCGATGGTCCGTCCGAGCCGGGAAAACGTCCCGTCCGGCCGAGAAACCATCGGCCATTCCATCATCCGTCCGACCACCACGGCCGACCGAGAAACATCCGGCCACGACCGTTCCGACACGACAACGACCCGATCGTCCCGACCGACCGTCCGAACGCCGCGGTCGACCCGAAGCCGTTTTTGAAGCCCAATCCGCACAATTCAAGCCCAAAGCCGGCGCCGACCTAGCAAGATTAGGTCTAGCCGCTTTTTCATACTTAGTGCATTATAAATACTTCTTTTTAGCCTTGTAACTCAAGAAGGAGAGAGACCACAATTATTTTACATCTTTAATAAAGTTTTGCTTGCTTTTACTTTGTTCTTGCTTGTTCTCTTTCTAGAGAGGATTCGAATCTCTGTTCTTATGAATATGAATTCGTGTTCCTTCTCTATGTCTGAGTAGTTTACTTGTTAAGTGATAGGAAGTCAAAGGATAGCATTCATGTATGCTTGATGATTGATCACAATTAGGGTTTTACTTATAATCTCCATCTTTGCTTATACTTAATGCTTGTTGTTAATCTGGCCAATTAGCATATGATCTTAGGTTGATTTGAGCCTCGACAGTGCTGTATCATTCGCCTGAACTAGTATTTGGTGGGCAACCTCTTTTAGACTGCGAAAGTTGATTTACTTGTAGGTTGTGAACAATTGAACTTAATCGAACTAATGCTTGATTTAATCACCTAGGGACATACCAAAAGTTTAGCGACTAGGTAGATTAACAAAGGGGTCGGAGCCTCGACAGTGGAATGATCATACCATAGTGTTTCAAGTTCTAGATTGGCACCTAATTGCAGTAACCCTAATTGATTGATTTCTTGCTTCATGAATTGCTTATCTTAAGACTATCCTATTGCTTAGCCCTTTTCTCCTATTGATTCATTCTTATTACTTGCATGCCTTTACTTTACTGCACTCAACCAACTTATACTTTTGCCCTAGCTCGATCTCAACTTATAGTTTGTAGTGTGCAATCTGGTCCTCGTGTTCGATACCCGTTTACTACTTCTGACCTGTGCACTTGCAGAATCAGGGATAGGAAAGGGGAAGACCTGATCCCGCGATCAAGTTTTTGGCGCCGTTGCCGGGGACCAATTCGCACCTACAAGCTCTTGCAAGAGAGCTAGTCTAGGGTTTCATCTTTTCCTTTTTAGTTTTGTTATTTTTCCTTTTTCTTTTGATTTCGTTTTTCCTTTTTGTTTTTGAGCTTTTTCAGGTTTTCCTAGTTAGATATGGAAGAAGGATTCACAAGTCCTTCCCTATAAAGGCGATCCACTTCGCCATACCACCTCAAAGAACCTCTTGGACGAACAAGAGATGTCAAGCCCTCAAGCACCACCACCTTCTTGGGATAGTCCTCCAAAACTATCTCCTTGAAGACCAAGAAGAAACTTCTTCCCTACCTTGAAGCAGCCGACCTGGAGACGTCTAGCCAAGCCGCATCTTACAGAGAAGAACACCTTCTAGCCACACCAGAAGAGGAGATTGACCCTGAGCTGATCGAGTTCGTGAAGAGAGATCAATTCCATGATCTGTTTTCAGAGTATGCGCTGGAGCACATAGATCACTTTGATAATCTTTGTGATTCCTATGGAGTTTTTGACTTTGAGAAGAAGATGATGCTATTCAGCACATCACTAGCTGGACCAGCACTAGATTGGGCGCAGCATGACCACTCTACAATCGAGTCATGGATCGATTTTAGAGAAGCTTTCTTGAAGAGATTTGCAAGGCTACCACCTTTCAAATCCAAGTACAACCACTACTCTCATCAGCTGGAGAGAGAGCGTGAGAAGAAGAATGGGGAGGCATACCACCCCATCCTGAAGTCTTGAATGAAGAGCTAATCAAGCATGTGGAGAGGAACCCTTTCTACAATTCTACTTCAGAGTGTGCAAAGGAGCATCTATGCAACTTTGAGCAGCTTTGCCACTACTATGGTCTTGGAGACAACCCCAAGAAGATACAACTTTTCCAACTATCACTAGCTGGACAAGCCAAAGAATGGGCTAAGTTCAACGCCCAACATGCTTTCAAGACTTGGAATGGATACAAAGGAAGCTTTCCTCTACAGATTTGCAAAGGTCCATTTATGTTCCACCACCACGCCCCAGCTATTCACAACACCATCCATCATCACCAGACATAAATCAGACACCACTTTTCCCAAGGAGAGTTCCAAGCTGCGCGCCAAACCAAGATTGAAGAGATGCTTCAAGAATACTTGAAGAAATCAAGATGAGAGTACAAAGAAGATGGAGAGGAGAATCGATTTCATCCATGAGAGTCTTGGAAACAAATCTGAAGTCCTATTCAAGCAAGTGATCAAGCTTGATGAAGACATTAAGAAGCTTAAGAGAAGACCATGATCGATCTCTAACCTAGTTAACTTGATGTTGCTGCCAAATATCAAGAGTTGCTGAACAAGAGCATGAGAATTGAAGATACTAGCTATGGCAATAGCAAGCATCTTGGATCGATCTACAACCGCCTACAAGCCCTTGAAGGATCATCTCACTCCAAGTACAAGAGAGAGAGGAGTCCAACACCCAACCACCCTCCCTTTATTGCAATGCCATCACAAGAAGAAGCAATACTCACCAAGTCCATGAGGACAATGAAGAAGAAGAAAGAGAGTATGAGGAACAACTTGAATGATGAAGATGAAGAGCAGAGCATCGACATCAATGCTTCTCCAAAACAGAGCAAGGATACACCTAGCCCTGTTGACCCTCGTTTCTCACCACCACCAAGAAGTCAAGCTTCTGAACTTCCAAGATTGGAAGTGATGCAAAGACCATCACCACCTACTGAAGAAGAAGATACTTGGCATATGATCCCATTGATCCCAACAAGATAAGCCCCATGAAGCTTAAAGAGTTCAATGCTAAGGTGAAATCACTTCCATTCTATGTCACTTTTGAAGAAGCTTGGGATAAAGCATGATCTAGTGGAGTTCTTTTTCACAACTGGTGAAACCAAAGAAGAGTACACAACTTTTCAGAAGGCTCGATTTCCCATTGCCCCTCATGCAGTCAATCAACCATCATCACCACCATCACCACCCCTGAATGGTATGTCAATTCCATATCAAGAGAGAAGCTTGCTGAGTTCAATCAGTTTGTCCAAACTCTTCCAGCCAGCATGTCTTCCAAACAAGCTTGGCGCCACTACCCATTCACCACCTTCTTCCACAACTGCAGAGAGACACCTCAAGACATCAAAGAGCTTTTTGAGAAAGCTAAAGTTCAGCCACCTTCAAGACCCTCTACAAGATTGAAGACCCAGGTCAATTCTCTATTCCCTGTCAAGTAAATGGTCATTACTTTGATAGAACACTTTGCGATTCTGGATCTTGCATCAACCTCATGCCAACCCAAACCGCCAAACTCCTTGGCATCACACGCTTACAACCTGCTCAAATTAGTATTGGACTTGCTAACCATACTATAGCCAAGCCAAGAGGAGTTGTTGTTGATGTTCTTCTAGAGATTGGAGATATCAAGATCCCGGTGGATTTTCATGTCATGAACATCAAAGGAGGATGTGACACACCATTGATACTAGGCCGACCCTTTTTGGCCACTGCTGGAGCTGTCATGGACCTTCCAAACAGGCGAATGTCCTTAGCCAATGTTGACAAGACAGTCTTTTACAAGACCATACCATTCATCTCACCAAACAAGCTGTCTTACTTCATCACTGCCCAAGGCCGCCCAAGAGAACCACCAGACCACACTCAAGGTCACAATGAGACAAGAACTAAAAGACTATGTCTCAGGCCGTGCCCTTACCCCATCTCCAACTAAGAGATCCTATCAGTCAAGCTAATGACTCAAAAAAGCGCTGCATGGGAGGCAACCCATGAAAGGTGTTTTTCTTTACTTTTCTTTTCAATTAGTTTTAGTTAATGTCTAGTTTTGTTTTGAGTTTTGGATACAGGAATCTAAGAACCACACAATGGTAAAGAAGATATACCACAAAGAAGAATGTTCATAGTTGGCGCGACTTAGATGGCCGAGCAGAACCTCTCCACGCTCGCCCATGTCCTCTCAAGCCGCCCAACACACCATCCCATCTCATTCCATCTGCATCTCACCCATCCCACCTCACCACACTTGCATTCCATACACTACCATCATTCCACTGCATACACCATTCTTCAAGTAAAACCAAATCAGGTTACATCTTTCTTTTTACATTCACAATCGCCTTATTACCTCTTTCTTTAACTCCCTTAATTGGATTTTCTTTCACCGGGACGGTGCAAGTTAAGTCTGGGGGGATTGTCGGTACTAATGTGTTTGTTCATGGTTGTTTTGATCTTATAACCGGTTTTTCCTTACCCACTTTTTCAAAACTTCTGTTTTATTGAGTCAAAACCAGTAGGAAACTATGACTTTCTAGGAAGCTTACCATATCATACCAAAGCACTTGTGATCATTAAGGCGAATCTGACACCGAACATGCCTAACGGAACCTCTAAGGGTGGATCGACCTACTGATTTGGCAAGATTTCTAAGGTACCACACAATCTAGAGCTAAGCTCCACAACTTAATGAACTTTAATTTCTCTTGTCAAGGGGCTTGAGATTCATGAGTCGACTCCTCATTGAGTTTAGTTGAGATATGTCTAGAAAAGAAACAGTCCATCCTCTCTCTTATCTGCAAAAGAAAGATCAAAAGCTCAAAGAGCACAAGGAAAACAAGTAAGCATGAGGAATGCATACTTCTGTACCTTCATGTCTTATGGAATACCTTATACAAGGAGAAGCTCAATGCCAATCCATGTATCCCACAAAGAGAAATCTTAAGGGAAGGAGATCGATAGAAAAAATAAAATGATACCCTAGAAAAGTAGGGAAAAATCGATTCTTCAAAGATAAGAGAGAAGGAGAGAGGTTTGGTACTGAATGAGCAAGAAGACTATCTTGGCAAAGACTTGGAAGGGTAAGAATCAATGCTTGTGATCAATACTCCCTTGATAAAGACCACACACTTTAAATACTGCAAGGAGTTAGCAATAGAGAGTTTGGAATACTGGATGAGATTTGTTGGGTCCGGTATGGTTCGCTAAACTCAAGGTCAGTACGTGATAGCCAGTTTCAAAGTTGGTTTGTCCCAAATAGAGCAGAGCAATGGAGATACAAGTTCCAAAAGATAAGTGAGTTTTCGTGTTTTCAAAACCTCTTCACTAGTTTAGATTTGATTTGCTTGGGGACAAGCAAAGATCTAAGTCTGGGGGAGTTGATATACCTCTATTTTACATGCTTTTTATGCTATTTTACTATGGTTTTCTAATGGTTTTCTAGTGGATTCTTTGGATGGACCTAAAAAAAGATCTACTCAATGGATTTCATCAAGACCAGTTCCCTGCGTGCTCTGATTGAGTTAACTTTCCAACGCAAGTGGAACGGCCTCATTTGGATGAGTAGAAAAGGAGTTATAGCCAAAAGAGTGAAGACTGTCCAGCGGCTCTATCGAGAATCAGCGCCCGAACGCGCAGACGGCTGGCCGAGGAACGAATGTTCCGCGCTCGGCCAAAACCAATCCGTCCGTCTGAAGTCTCGGCCAAAGTTCAATCCATCCGGCCGAACGCATATCACGACCCGGGAAACAATGTCCCGCGGTCGGCCAAGCCACACCCACAACGCCGCGCACGACCATGCGCGCGAGCCGGGAAACAACGCCTCGCGGCCGCGTAACCTCACTCGTGTACCACGGCCGATGGTTCCGTCCGAGCCGGGAATCAACGTCCGCGTCCGGCCGAGAAATTATCGACCATTCCATCATCCGTCCGACCCTCACGGCCGACCGAGAAACATCCGGCCACGACCGTTCCGACACGACAACGACCCGACATCCGGCCGACCGTCCCGACCGACCGTCCGAACGCCGCGGTCGACCCGAAGCCGTTTTTGAAGCCCAATCCGCACAATTCAAGCCCAAAGCCGGCGCCGACTTAGCAAGATTAGGTCTAGCCGCTTTTTCATACTTAGTGCATTATAAATACTTCTTTTTAGCCTTGTAACTCAAGAAGGAGAGAGACCACATTATACTTTACATCTTTAATAAAGTTTTGCTTGCTTTTACTTTGTTCTTGCTTGTTCTCTTTCTAGAGAGGATTCGAATCTCTGTTCTTATGAATATGAATTCGTGTTCCTTCTCTATGTCTGAGTAGTTTACTTGTTAAGTGATAGGAAGTCAAAGGATAGCATTCATGTATGCTTGATGATTGATCACAATTAGGGTTTTACTTATAATCTCCATCTTTGCTTATACTTAATGCTTGTTGTTAATCTGGCCAATTAGCATATGATCTTAGGTTGATTTGAGCCTCGACAGTGCTGTATCATTCGCCTGAACTAGTATTTGGTGGGCAACCTCTTTTAGACTGCGAAAGTTGATTTACTTGTAGGTTGTGAACAATTGAACTTAATCGAACTAATGCTTGATTTAATCACCTAGGGACATACCAAAAGTTTAGCGACTAGGTAGATTAACAAAGGGGTCGGAGCCTCGACAGTGGAATGATCATACCATAGTGTTTCAAGTTCTAGATTGGCACCTAATTGCAGTAACCCTAATTGATTGATTTCTTGCTTCATGAATTGCTTATCTCAAGACTATCCTATTGCTTAGCCCTTTTCTCCTATTGATTTCATTCTTATTACTTGCATGCCTTTACTTTCTCTGCACTCAACCAACTTATACTTTTGCCCTAGCTCGATCTCAATCTATAGTTTGTAGTGTGCAATCTGGTCCTCGTGTTCGATACCCGTTTACTACTTCTGACCTGTGCACTTGCAGAATCAGGGATAGGAAAGGGAAGACCTGATCCCGCGATCAAATGGGTCCAAATTTCTTATATCCGAAAAAACCAAACCCAAATCCGAACCGAACCAAGAACCGAGTGGGTACCCAAAATATCCAAAATATTAGTTATATTTACACTTAAAATAATCAAAAATATCTAAAATTACAATTATAAGTCTAAATAGTTATATTTAGAACGATATAACCAAAATATTCAAGAAATCCAAAAAGATTTAGTAGAAGATCAAATGTGTGAATTAGGAAGGATAGGTCACCTTACCACTCGGCCATGCCGCCAAAACGAGAGAAACTATGGAATAGAAACAAGTTTTTTTTAGTTACGATTGGGTATTCAGTTAAAAAAAAAAACCTATTATTGGATAAAAAGAGACGAGATTGAATATGACGAGACGAAAAAAATAGAAACGGAGAAGAGAGGAATTTTGTTTACTTCTTATGATATTAAGTGACGAGACGAGATCTAAAGGAATGGAAAAGAACAGAATAGGACAAGACGGAAATTTCGCCTACCTCAAATTATATTTATAGGTGGAACGGGAAAAACAAAAAAAAAACATGATGAGAGAGGACAAAACAGAAATGTTGAACGGGAAAAAATGAAAAAAAATGGAATGTGACGGGATTGGACCGGACTAGATGAAAAAGAACATAATGGGACGAGAATGTTGTCTACCCCTAATTATATTTAGAGACGAGACAGAGATAAGACAAAATGAAAATGAACATAATAAGATATGATTGGACTGGATGGGGCGGACAGAACGAACGGGATCAGAACGAACATGACAAGATGAAAATGAAATGGAATGAGATAGAATCTACCCCTAATTATATTAAGGAACGCGACAATAATAAACAAAATGGAAATAATCATAATGGGATAGGATAGGACTGAACGAGACGGGACATACATGACGAACGGGACGGGAATGAACGTACATGATGAAAATGAACGAAATGGGACGAGATGGTTCAAGATGGTACCAAAAATTTGCCTAACTCTAATTATATTTAAGTAATATGTTTATTATATCTTTGAAACAATATTAAATTTGCGGAAAAACAATAAAACTAACACAACATGCGCGTAGCGCGGATCACCCCCTAGTACTATCATAAAACTTGACCTCTTGACCCCCTGACTTTTCTGACGAGAATACAAGCACATAAACTGAATACTTTTATTTGAAAATACAACTTTTATAAAATATAAATTATGGAAAATAATCTTCAAATAAAGGCGAGAAAATCATTCGTTACCTATAATATAAGAATTGTTTTTCAAAAATTTGCTTCCTTTTCTAAAAATTTTTGACTAGAAAATATATTCTAATATGCCGTGTTATTATATATATAACTATTCATCCAGCCAAAATGAAAATATCTAAAAATAATCTAAGAAAATAACACAGAAATGACTATCACAAAGAAAATGTTGATCGC